ATACGCTCTGCTTAACTGACAGCTATTTATTGTTTGAATTAAATATGATTTTTATAGATATTTTATAAAATACAGCCATTAATTAAAAATGTTTTCGCTATTGTTTATAAAATGTTTATTAAAATGTAATATTTTTAATGACTTTTTACTGCATTGCTTCATAACTGGACATGAATTTAGTTATATTATTCATAACTAATGAATTTATAAATGGCTAATAACTCAGTGTAAGTGTTCTGAGTTTTTATATGGACTTTGCATTTATAGTAAAAAAACTACTTTTCTAAACGAATGACTGATTTGAATTAAATTCAAACACATTTGTTGAGCTCATCAAATGTAGATTACATTACAACCAATCAATTAAATAATCTACTGATCAATTGTTAGACATTAATATGAATTGTATTCATTGGGATCACAAGAAAATAAATTTAGCTCAAAATAAAATGAAATTAAATTATTTTTAAAATTTGGTATTCATTTGTTAATTAAGTGCTCACTTTATGTAGTGCTGATGTCTGGATAAGTTGATGTCTGGTTTGTACCCAAAAATCAAAATACATTGAGTTTAGAAGATATGAGTTTTAGAATAAATAGAAGACTTGTTTTTAAGTTAAAAGTTTTGGACGAATGAGAGTATAGTTTGTAGGGATAGGAGAAGAGGAGGAGATCTGTTTGTTTCAATGATAAACACATCACATAAACACTCAAATTGTTTGACTCAAAACTTTGAGGAAGTTTTGAACAAAACATTAGAACTTATGAACGAATAAATGATATAACATTTTATTTCATATTATTTATTATTCAAATGATTTGATTATAAATTATAATTAATTGTAATTATAGTTAAAATACCCTAAATTGTAGTATTTATTGATAAGTTGTAGTTATAATTTAGTTAACATTAAATAAACAAACGGTGTTTAACTTAAAATTGTAATTTTAATATTTGTAATTCATAATTTTATGTGTTATTGATTTGATGTGAAATAATGGCGTTTTTAAATCAAATAAGATATCAATTAAATCAACGATTGTTTGGTCCGTCACTTGCGTTAAGAAGTGTTTTGTTGTCGAATGAGAGGAATATAACTTTTACGGCACAACACGAAGAACTGAGAAAAACAGTGAAAAAGGTTTTATTTATAATTATTAAATTTACAATTAATAACAATTGAATTGCAGATAATTGAAAAGGATGTCAACCCTTATGTCGAGGAATGGGAGGAGAAGGACATCTTTCCGGCTCATCAGGTGTTCAAAAAGTTTGGCGAAGCGGGTCTTCTCGGCATCACTAGACCTACAGGTCTTTCCAAAAAATCATTTATTATGTGACCATTAATTTTAAATTAATACTAAATATGATCTGATTTTACAGAATATAATGGTTTGGGTTTAGATTATTCATATAGTATCGCATTCTTCGAAGAGTTGGCGAACATTAACTGCGGAGGAATACCGACAGCCATTACGGTTCAGACAGATATGGCGATCCCAGCGCTGACTCAGTTTGGAAGCGATTACTTGAAGCGTGAGTTCTTGGCGCCAACCGTTGCGGGCGATTATGTGG